TAGCATTGACTACCTCAAGCGGTTTTATCACCCTTGTTAGTGTATACGGACCCATTCTAATGCCAACGGAGGATGGAAAGGATCCTTTTTATGAAAAATGGAATAATACAGTTAAAGCTATTTGACGGCATCTACATACTTGGTGATTTTAATGCTCGCGTGGAGTCAGTCAGAATCATGGCCAGTTTGCATTGGAAAATATAATGTTGGTCGCATGAATGTCAGTGTGCAAGGACTATTGGAATTCTCCACTAGAAGTGGCATGTGCATCAAAAACTTCTTTTTCAAACCTAAAGACCACCATAAGGTGTCATGGAAACATCCAAGGTGTGACCACTGGCACCAGTTATTCTACCTTATTCACACAAGGAGGCAGCACTTTAACTGTGTATCACTAACTCGCAGCTACCACAGTGCTGACTGTAATACTGACCACCTCCTTGTTGCTATAAGAGTTTGAATGAAACTAATGAAAAGAATTTTCACTTCAAAAAACAAATATTTCCCCAAGTTAAATATTTCCAAAACTTAAGTCCCTGAACATAATTTTGAGTTTCAACAACATCTCGAAGATGCTTTCACTGATATCCATGATAACTCTACAGCAAGCTTAAAATGGGATGCAGTTAAGGAGACTGTCTACAAAACAGCTGCATCAGTTTATGGGATTAGAGAACACAGAAGCAAGGACTGATTAAAAGCAAATAGCCAGACACTCCAACCCCTAATTGACTGCAAAAAGGTAACACTCCCCAAAAACAAGGAAAGAACAAGAAACACTCTTAGTGAACTGAGAGAAGCTAGAAATCATTCGCAAAAAGGTTTCTAGACAGTGTGCAAAGGACTACTGGATTCAGTTGTGTGAAAATGGTCCAGGTGCTCGCAGTAGTGGTACTATTAGAGGCATGTAGAATGAAAAAAAGAAGGCCACTGGTCCAACTGTTTAAAAAAGTGCAAAACTAAAGAGTTTGAATGGGGAAATTATTATTGACAAAATAAAGAAGTAGCTAGACAGATGGGAAGAACATTATCTGTATTTGCATTCAGTTGATACTAAACTTTTATAATGTGCCTCTTAATGCTATGAAGATGCTATAAATTCTTGACTATTTGAACACATTTCCAACAATTGTAGAAGTTAGAAATGCTATTGATGAACTAGCTTCCGGGATGGCCCCATGCAGCGATAGAATGCCTGCTCAGATAATCAAGAGTGGGAAAGACATTTTAAACCCAAACATTCATTAGCCAGTAACACTAGGCTGACGTGAGGGACAGTTTCTGCAAGTCTTCAAAGACTCAATCATAATAACCATGTACAAGAATAGGGGTGATCTGAGTGACTGTAATAACTACAGGTAAATAACAATGCTGTGCACTGTTAGAAAATAAATGGCGAGAATTGTTCTGCGGAGAGTCCAGATCCTAGAAGACCAGGTTTACCCAATGTCACAGTGTGGCTTTCGTGGAACCTGGTCAACCACCGGAATGGCATTTTCATTACGACTGTTGCAGGAAAAAATGCAGTAAACAAAATCACCCACTGTATATTGCTTTTATTATTCTTATTAGGGCATTTGATCTGGTTAGTAAAAAAGGTCTGTTCAACACACGGAAGAAGTTTTGATGTCAGCCTACCTTAATGGGCATTATTAGGTCGTTTCACACATGTATGAAAAGTACAATCAACTTTCATTGTTAAACATCGGAGGAGTTTGTAATCAACAATTAAGTGAAGCAGGGATGTGTACTTGCACCGAATGCTCCGAACATTTTCGGAATATACTTCTCACTTCTTTTTAAACATGCCCTTAGAAATTAGGAGGATGGTATATTGATCAATTTTCGATCTGACGGCAGCCTTTACAAAGCTCCTGGGTTGAAGACAATTTTACCTATCTGGGATCCACAGTGAATAACAAACTATCAATGGACCAATAAATCGACACGAGGATAGGTAAGGCAGCAACAACAATGAGAAATCCCCCCCCCCCCCCGACCCCCCCCCCCCCAAAGAAATATTTGGGCTGAATAGAAAGCTCACGATTAAAAGGGGGAAAAAAAAAAACTATTGTCTATCAGGCTTGTGTTCCCAGTACTCTGCTTTAATGCAGTGAAACATGGTCAGCTGATTCGTGCTAGGAGAAATGTCTAAATAGCTTTCATATGCGATACATACGAAATATGCTTGGCATTACGTGGGAGGACAAGAAAACACACACTGAGTATTAGAAAGAGCTGGCATTACAACAGTCTTCACAAGGCTCAGTCTACAAAGGCTCAGTTGGCTAGGTCACACCTGAAGAATAGAGGACGGCAGAGTCCCTGAAGACATCCTCTACGGCGAATTCAAAGACGGGTAAACGAAGTCGAGGCTGACCTCCGTTAAGATATAAAGAAATGTACAAACGGAATATGAATGAAAAAGGTATTGAGATGGATTCGTGGAAACTAAATGCCAGGACTGTGTTATGTAGAGGGGTACACGAGGAAGGGAATGAGAATAAAGGAAGAAATGACTGCAGAAAGGATGAGAGAAGAAACAGACTAAACACAAATGATGACAACAACAGTCCCGACATCCAATGCTATAACTGTGGAAGACTTTTTCTAACGCGGACGGGTCTTGCTAGTCACAATCGCCCATCGCCATGGGCTTGGAGTCCTATGACTCCTCTTTGCGCTGTATAACACTGTAGTCTGGAAAGACGGAAAGGTGCCAATGAATTCAAATTCTTGAGGACTGAAGAGTTTATTTAATATATCTTGCTTATTGTCTTGCCTCTTTCCCCCCTTAGTTCTTTTGTCACTTGTTCTCTCGCTCTTGACATTAAGATTTGGCTTTCCTTGGCAAACTGTCGACCAGCAGGCTTGCTGCTTTTTCACCAGTAAACGTTTTCCCTCTAGCTTCAATTATTGTGTTGGCATTGCATGATATGTTTCAATTAATTAGGTCTCTTTACTAGATGCCATCGTTTTTGTTTAACTGTTTAACTCCATGTTGAGAGCTGCAATTAATTCCTGCTATATTTTCGTTAAATATCCTAATGTTTGTGTGTTCTGTTACACTGCGTTCAGAGGAATCGACGCGTGTAGTCGGGAGATACACCGCATGCTTGCCAAGTATCTAGGTGTTCTGTATATACTTGTCAGTCCTCCACACATATACACAAGGTTCACGCAGCTGATTCATCAAATTCTTTTCACATAGCCTACTCTCATTGACATATTGAAGTACTAACATTGTGCAAGAACGCTCGGGCTCAGTGGTCTCGGGGCATTGCGTCCACCTCGAGTGCTCGATATCCGGGTTCAAGCTCCATTGAAGGCTAAGATATTTTCACGTGGACTTTTAGTAATTTCCATCGGTCTCTGGGTAGTAAGATCTGACGCCCGTGTGTATTGCTGCGCACGTTAAAAATCCCTAGGCAGTTGGAAATCCTAAAGAGTAATCTAGCGATACTGCCCGAGCAAAATTTGAAGATGAAAATCTGCCCAAAGTATTTCAGGATCCTCGCCAGTGCTACGGAGTTCATGCCCTGCGCAGAGATTTTCAGTCTTAGGCTTTAGTTAGAAGTAGAAAGAAGCACTTATGGATTACTACCATTTTGCATGACACCTATCCGTTGTAGATAAGTCTCTTGATCATTTACGAACACATTGCAACGAAGAGGAATTTGTGATCAATGACTCACTGTCGGTCTAAAAATTTCTGAAAATTACACTCAAATCGGCAGTTTCCAGGACATGAAACACACACACACACACACACACACACACACACACACACACACACACACACACACACACACACACACACACACACACACACACACACACACTTGTGAACTATGTATAAGGTGGCTGCTACGGGTGACTCAAATACACCTACGTGCAGTGACAGTCCTCTCCAAAAGCAGATGGTAAGGATACAGAACGAGGCTATGGGCATTAAACTTGGTTGTGCAAGAGATACAGCATGCAGGGCGATAAACTTTCTTCTTGATTTTACAACCATGGAAGACAATACAAATTTCCTAAGCACAAGCCTACCTCACAGTAAACGCAGACACACCACATTCATTGCATGGTGAAAAAACGAAGCGCATTTGCAGAAGGTTTTAAAAAAATGGAAATAGTGGATGCGTCAAGCCAAAATATATTTTTTTTATTTTTAGGTATGCTTGAGGTCTGAAGTTTGAGGTTTGAACAACAGATCCACATCATGGCACACGAGTAGTAACCCATAAGTGCTCCATTCTTCTTCTAACTCAAGTCTGAGTCCGAAGAAGCTCACACAATGCACAGGCTCTGTAGCACCGGCCAGGATCATGAACACTTGAGGGTATGGAACGCGGCGAGAAGTGGGTGCAAGTGCCTTCAAAGTGCTGTACATCCTTTTCTATTTGCATCCACCTAGACCAGCGGTTTTCAAACTGGGTGTCGTAGCACCCAGGGGTGCCACGAGCGTATGTTTGAAAGAATGTTTGAAAATCTGCTTGAGATGAGTGAACACACCAGTTGAAAAGAGAAACATTGTGAAGGAAGTCAAGAAGAGTTCTGGATGCAAATGTATTCAGAAGACAATGGTATTGGAAAGGCTGCAGAGCATTCTCAACGTACGCTTACATAAAAAAAAAAAAAAAAACAACGATACAGGAGCAAACTTTCTGGGTCAAGTGATTTAAGAGTTAAATTACCTAAAATTCCCATATACATAAAGGAAATATTGAAAACGTCATCCAGTCAGCTTCATCATCGCATTAAAGACAACTGAACATTACATGTGCACTGTTTTTTTTTTTCCTACTAAGTATTCAAACCGCTTTGAGGGTAGTTATGCCGACAATTTTTTGTTGCTTGACAAGAGTCATCATCATGTAGCAGGTCCTTCGCAGAACGTCGCACTCATCACAGTCTGCCTGAAAAAAAAACTCGGTCTCTCACCAGTTCTCCCGTCTCATGTACTTTCATACTCAAGGAGTCACTTATATCTCTTG